CCAAAAAAGCATGTGTGCACTCACCACACACACACTACAGAGAAGACTTTCCAGGGAAAATTGAAAATTAGTTTCAATTCCATACAAGTTTAAAAAGAAGATCTTGTTATACTTACTAGCATAACAACAGTAGCTATCAGACGAGTGGGTTCAAACATCCTTTTCAGTTGCTTCATTGGTCCCATAAGGAAAACAGTGCTGCAACAAGCAAATCAACACAGCATGAGCACAAAAGATCTGAGGACAGCAAAGGTATGCTTGCATTGCCATCATAACCTATTGTAACATACCATAGGCATCATGGTCATACAAGGTAACAATGTACTTTACTGTGGGGAGTAGTGCTATATAGACAGCAAAGACTTAGGGGCTATACCATAAAACAAAAGCAGCGCACAACGGAGAGCAGGCAAGTAAGCCACCACGTGTTGGGTGCTAGATAAATTAAGTCTTGAGAAGAAGCAATAGAAGAGGTTTGTAATCTTGATTTAAATAGAAACATTGTCTAAACATTGCCTTTGCTCCGGAGGCCGCGCACAGGTCATGCTGTGTGCCCCCTGCCCATATGGCCATGGGAGGCACAACATGGTATACCACAGCTCCTGGGGCAAAAGCAGCAGGGTGCAGAGCCCCAGCTTGCAGCCCTCCTCTTCCCTGCACACAAAACTGGGGGAGCATGTGCCCCCCATTCCTCTCCTGGGGGTATGTGCAGCAGTGGGGAGCTGCACCCCCCACCCCAACAAACCTCCTGCGGCTCCATCCCACAACCCACTCTGGCCCCAGGGCCCCATTCACCCCAGCCCTTCACCTGACTCTGCCCCACTCCCTCCCTCACCATGGGGGCCTCAATCTACCCTCCCCCACTCCATGGACTTACTTTCTGGGCACTGTCTGCGTCTCTATCCGTGTCTCACTCCCAAGCCAGTCCTCCATCCCTGCTGCTGTCCCTTATTCCTGACCCACAGTACCTCACATCCTGCCAGGGTATCTGGGGAACCCCCACCCCACAAACCAGGCTCCAACCCCCCCACACCTTCACAAATTCCTCCTCCCCACACACACACACCCACCCTGGAACCATACAGAGTACCTGCATAATTTTGTGTTTTTCTGCATATCATTTTGAGTTCTTAGCTGTGCAATTAAAATTGCAATTAATTGCTACTAATTTTTTTTTTTTTTTTTAAATCATGCAACTAATCATGATCAAATTTATTAATTGTTTGACAGGCCTAGTAAAGATTAAAGAGTCCCATTGGGCAGAACAGTTTTCAGTGCTCAGTCTAGAAGATCCCATTAAGTAGGGAAAAGCGCAGGCTCAGGGGAGACCTGGTGGCAGCCTGTAAGTACATCAGGGGTGTGCATCAGGATTTGGGGGAACAGCTGTTCACCAGAGCACCCCATGGGATGACAAGAACCAACGGTCACAAAGTCCTCCAAGACCGTTTTAGGCTGGGCATAAGGAAAAACTTCTATACTGTCTGAGCCCCCAAGGCTTGGAATAGGCTTCCTCCAGGGGTGGTGCAAGCACCTACTCTGGACTCCATTAAGAAGCGTTTGGATGCTTATTTTGCTGGGATCCTTTGACCCCAGCCAACTTCCTGCCCTTGGGGCAGGGGGCTGGACTCAATGATCTCCCAAGGTCCCTTCCAGCCCTAATGTCTATGAAATCTGTGTGTGATGCTTAGTTTCAGTTCTCAAACTGTGGATTTGTCCCTCCAGAGATAACATGCTTGTTAACAGCAGTATATGGAGAAGAGAGATAATATACCTGATAACCTACCCATCAGACCTCTTGTCTCTCTGCAAATTTGCGTACAATGAGTCAAGCCCTTACCTCTCTCTAAAAGTGCAAAGTTTCAAGAAGCTAAATTAACAGAGGATCTCAAACAACAAGAACGCACTTTTTTGTAGAAAACAATGATTAAATCAAGGCTTCCTGACCAGTGATTGAAATCGATTTGATTTAAAAATTAAATCCACCCTGGTTGAACGTCCCCATTTTCTGGTGTCATGGACAAGGAGAACATAAACTCCCCTTCTGTCTCATCTAAACTGTTCATTCTACATGCCTATGTTCCATCACGCCAGTCTCCAGCATCAGGTAGTAAGCAAATTGTAATCTATTTCAGCCTCTTGTCCCAAAGGAATGTTTGTAGGTGCTTGTTCATTCATCACTTCTGAACCCCCTCTAGCTCAGCTACATCCTTTCCAAGATGGGATGCCCCAGACAGTATTAGCACTTCAAATGAAGCAGAGCTCTTGATTTTCATAAGCTATACTTTGAACATTATTCCTCATGCCAATCCATTCCTCATTGCACTCCAGTACCTTGCTAGCCAATTGGCTTGTGCCAGCACATTTTCAGTCTTCACTGAGCTATTTACAACAATGCCCAGGAGGTTTCTTGGGACATCAGCATGGCTACACTTACAGCAAGAGTCTTCACAACAGATAGAAGATGATGGTCTACCAACCTAGAGGGACCAATACCTTATGGATCATAAGGAAATGCAGACAACTGTAACAACATCAAGAACAGTATAATTATATTGATTCTTTCCTGACCCCTGTAGGAATCTGCTAAAGCTGTGAAGCATGAAATTTCATCCCTCCTATTTTTGCCTGCATGTACACATAGATAGCTTATTTGACTCAACAGTAAAAGCCAAGGTACAAGAAAATGTTCCATTTTATAAAACTAGACCGGTTTGAAAGATCAGTATTATTTGTTTTCATTTTCTGAATTTGAGGTGTGTACGTAAAGCAAAATTAATTTCTCAATACTCATGAGCACTCACTCCCTATCATTCTATGCAAACTGCCCTGCCTTGGTATGAGAGAGCTGTTAGAGAAGTTTGTTACCTTCCAATGGATGCAATATTCCCCAGTGTATAAAACACTGCAAAAAGAATTAATCCTTTCCTTGGCACCCACAGCAGGCATGTACCCTGAAAAGATAGATAAGGAAAGTGACCGACTATTTTGTTACCATATGTATATATCTCACACACCTTTTCCTCCTGCCCCCCACTAGTATCTTCAAAAAAGACTGCAGAACAGTAGGGAAACTTAAACCTAAATGTAGGTAACAAAAGCACAGATTTGTGTTTGCTTGCAATCTTTATTATAATCAAAGGATTTCACTGGAGCCCAGTGACCTTCTTAATAAACAAGGTATCTTGCATTTACCAGGTATGTGGCAAATCAACCAGTTGAAATCAAGTTTATGCATTAATAGACCATTTATGCATATCTTATCCTTTTAAAAATAGGAATACTAGTACCTAGACACAAAAGGATGCACAACTACCTACAAAGCTGTATTTACCATATCAAGGGCTCATACTTTTATTAGGGGTGCACCTAACTTTGCTATAACAGTTACATTTTACATGACTTGCGTAGACAGACTAAAGGGATTTTGTTGCTAAGTGACATTTTTGCCTATATAAATGAATCTGTAGCTTGTACCATCTCAATCTTCATCCAGTCTAAGACCCTGTACTTGATTATCAGGCCTATCCAATATGTCCCACTGCCACCATTCCTTTTGGAAACTGAGGAATTACATACCATATCAGTGAACAATTCCTGTTTACACCATTCAATTCTCAACTACTCAGAAGAATAGGACCCATCATCTTTATTTTGTGTGTCATGCCTGCATCTCAAAGGGCTCTCTCTCATAGGCAACAATCCAAACACACCTATACAGAACCCCTGCTTTTTGGGGTCAGAGTGCATGCCAGTTTGCCTGCCACTTCGGGATGAGGGGTGGAGGTCTCTTGGGAGATCCTAACGTTTCATTCCTCATGCATGCTAATACCTTGCTAACTTGATGGCTCATGGTGGCATATTTTGCAGCCTTCACCAAACTATTTACAATGTATGCTGTTGCATGTGGAACCCAAACCTACTGGGAAAATTGACAGGGGTCTTACCAGGATGGAGCACAGGATTCCTATAGCAAAACAGGCGATGAAACCTTTCACTCGTGTGCCCCAGCTTAATGTAGTTGCATCCATTACCTGGAATTAAAAAAACCAAAACACAAAAACCAAAAACCTTGAGTTTATAAAGTAAGGACCCATGTTTCCTTTAATATATCAACTTGTGCAAGTGAGAGAGAGAGAGATCTAATTTAGTTATTCCATTAGGTATAGATCTGTTTTCTTTAATGTATCGATTTCAGAGAGACACACATACACTCTAATGTAGTTAGTTGGTCTATAAAGTACATATCTACCCTGCTTTATATCAATTTATAGTCAACTCCAAACAAGCTTGGTTGCTTTTTTTAAATCAGCAGCCTATGCTCCTTTTGGGGGTGGGGGAGGGCAGAAATCTCCACAAGATCACAACATTTAGTGAAAAGCCCCATTCACAGTATCAGTACCACTAGCACAGAACTCCACCTTTGTGGCAAGCCAAATGTCAGCTGCAGCTGGCAACAGCTGCGTGCTGCCCACAGGATGAGGCCCCTAACTAGTCCCAGACACATGAAAGGAAGGGAGTAACTTGTCACTACCAGCATGATAAGTACCAACCCTAGCCTCTCCACTGCACTCATTGGCATGCATGCCCAGCTCGCCAGCCTATGTTCTTAGTCTCTGGACAAAGTCAGTGCTTACAAGTGGCTTTTCTTCCACCCCTTATCTTTGCGAGAAGCTAAATCCAGAGAGCACCACTGAAATTATAGCAAGCAAGTGCCCTCAGGAGGGTGTACCCCAACCCCCTGCTCAAAGCAGGACCATCCCCAACCAGATCATCCCAGCCAGGGCTGCATCAAGCCGGGCCTTAAAAACCTCCAAGGATGGAGATCCCACCACCGCTTTTGGTAGCCTGTTCCAGTGCTTCACCACCCTCTTAGTGAGAGTCTTTTCTAATGTACAGCCTACACCTCCCTTGCTGGAACTTGAGCCCATTGCTCCTTGGTCTGTCATCTGCCACCACTGAGAGCAGTCCAGCTCCTTTCTCTTTAGACCCCCGTCAGGGAGCCAAAGGTTGCTATTGAATGTTGCGGACTAATTGAGCCCAGCTCCCTCGCCTCTACGAGCCCCTGCGCTGCCCGTGCCCAGCCAGCAGCAGGGCACAAGCACCCAGCGCCCCCTGCTCCAGCATGGGCGCCCCCAACCCAGAGCCCCCCGCCCCCGCATCGCTACCCACGGCCGCCTCGAACCCGCACCCCGTGTGCGGGGGGAGGGGAGGAGGTACCTCGCTCATCCCGCCCGACTCCTCGGCGTCCTGCCCGCTTAGAACCCGCTTGAGCTTGTCCATAGTCGGCTCCGCGCCGCGCCCGGCTCCACTCTGCTCGACTCGACTCCACTCCCGCACCAGGACTACAGCACCCAGCAGGCACCACCACCCGCCCCACTTTATCACACCCGCTGCTGGCGCGGGGGATACTGGGAGACGTAGTCACTCTGCACCCACTAGCCTGAATGGTGGCGTTTTGAGGCCGCAAGGCATGCTGGAAGCCGTAGTCCCAGCGCAGGTTCGGGTCCTTCTGGCGCAGTGCATGCCGGGCGGGGTAGTCCCTGACCTTGCTCTAGGCGCTCCTGGCGAAGGGCATGCTGGAAGCGGTAGTCGCCTCAGCCCTCACCTGGGGCAGGCGGGGGTGGGGTCAGGGCTGGGCGTCTCGGTGTTGCCAGGCGTACGATAATGATCGTGTTTGTACGATCATGTTCAACCTTGTGCCACGCTCGATCAATAATAGTAAAAGTACTCAAAATGTACAAATTAACTGATGCAAAACCCAAGTCATGCTCAAGGAGTCTTAACCTACTGTGGGGCTTGCTGTCAACATTTTCTTAGGACTGCTGGCCTCAAAATAAAGAAACACTTCAACGTTGAGGACAGAGTTCTCACTCACTGGCATGTTACAGTGACCAATATAAAGTAAATAAGGTGACAACGTATTTAAATATTTTTTCAGTGTACCATAGTTTTTTCAGCAAATGCAATAATTTCAAGCTCCCAATATAATAATTTCATATTTAAGACCTGGCAACACTGGCTTCTTTGCAGGGAAAAGCCAGCTGACAGCACCCTTGGCCTGCAGCAGCCTGCTGCTCTCTTCCTCCCTCAGCCAGAGCTGGTGCTGGTAGCTTGGAGGTGTCTGGCAGGCTTCATCAGGCTGTTCTCTTGGACTTCTATTAGGAACAAGGCCATGTCTGGGCAGTCAGCACTGGAGGGAAATGCCAGCAGATGGGATCCTGGCCTAAACAGCCAGCTTTTCTGTTTTAAGGCAGATCCTGCTAATTTCTCTATATACACTAAAATTGACACGCTGTTCCTGTGCATGCACTTGTTTGGCAGTGTTTACAGAATCAGACCTTTATGTGGAAAAGCCAACAGGATGCATTTGTTCAGGCTCTTATAGAAGTTCATTGTAGAGTTTTCATCAACGCCATGGGCTCTGGATTGGGCACTTGGTAAAACCCTGCAGAATCTGCCACGAAGAAAAAAAATAGCTATATATCTGCTTATTTAGAGAGCAATACTGTTCTCCTGTTTTGTGAAGCACCTCTTTTTCTTAAACTGTTTGTTTCTGTTCAGGTTCTCTTCGTAAACCCCTTTGAGAATTTTTTTTCCCAATGCTAAGCTTTTAAAACAGAACTTGATCTTTTTCCAAAAATCCTTATCTTCCAAATAAATGTATTTAGGTCCCACCCAATTCTTTAGTGTCAAGATACTAAAGAATTGGGTGGGATAAGTTTAAGAACTTAGTTTAGTTTAAGAACTAATCACAGCAGTGATGCAAAGAACAATTTTTTTGCAGTTTATGATGATGACGACGACGACAGCAATGATGATGATGATGATGATGATGATGATGATGATGAGAGGCAAGGAAGGTTAAACCATTTGAAATGCATATTCAGCTTCTGGTACAAAAAGGTATTTGTATCAGGAAAGAAATATTATAAGGTCCAACTGTGTCTAGAAAGCGAGGAAAACTAATAGTCCAAGCTACCTGCACGTTTCAGGCTTATTTATTAATTGACCATTCCACTGATTACTAAACTTGGTTTATGACATCTGGAAATGCATTCCAGCTAATAAAACAGGGTGTGCCAGGACTGACGTGAGCCATACCACAGAAACCACCTTCAGACATTCATCATCTCCAAAAGTATAAAAGCACACCTGTAGACATAAAACAAGATATACATCTGTGCACTGCCCTTACTAGCTTTTTTGAGCACCATCACGTAGTTGGCATGACTTGTGTTTTAAATAGCATCCAGTAACTATTTTGAGAGCGGAAGCAGGAAAGATTTATTATTATTTATTTTTTGAGAGCTGCTGGAGTATTGCGATTCTGAAACCAAGACTATTTAAATGATACATTTTACATACTATGAATATATTATCCTTTAATGGTCCTAATATTAAGTTTTAACTTTCTGCTTTTGTACAGTATATAAAAAAGTTCTTGAAAAGTGGAAAAAGCTGATTTTTCACAGGCCCTAAACACCCTGCACCCCTCCAGGGGAAACTGACCCCTCATAAAGCCATAAGTGTACATCAGCTCTGAAGTCTACACACTAATGCATTTCCCAAATTTCTGAAAGCAGAGCCCTCTGCTGATAAAAAAAAAAAAAAAAAAAAACCCCAAAAACTTT